AACACTTTTAAAGGCTTTTTTTGGGGGGGATATTTTCATTGTTTGCCTGTAGCCACAGTTAGCTGCTAGCCTCGCAGCCTTGAAAGGAGTATTTTCCTGCACGAGGGCAGCCTGCCACTTGCCTGACACATTGCTAGTTGGGCGTTGCTGTTTGAAGTGCCGCAGCCACTTCTCAGCTGTTTTTCAGGCTTTTTATCTTGCGGCTTAGCGGTTTCTTTACGATCTGCTTAATTTCAGTCCCAGGCTGATTGCCAGCCATCTCAGGGACTCCCAGCTGTTAAAATCACCAAATCAGCTCTTCGGTAGACAGACAGCTTAGAAATAAGTGTGGCTACAGGGATTGTGTGCTGGCTTGCCGCCACTGAGCCCATTGCAACTTAGCCCCATTTTAAAAAGGGAGCAACTGCCATTCAAGCGGGCAGCACCCTTTTTTCCTTTTGCAGGCAGAACAGCTCCTGGGCTAAGTAAGCTGTCAGAATGGCTGTACAGTTTCTGTCGGCTGACAGCATGGCAGGACAAGAAGCCTCTTCATCTGCTCCCAGCAGGAAGTCCAGCTCCAGAAGAGGCAGATCAGCCAGGCAGGATGCAGCTGACAAGATTAGAGCCAAGGCTATCTACTCTAGAAAAGAAGATCAACGGGGGCATGGATTTTACTCAATTGTTTTCCTCATTACGAAGTCCTCAGGGGATAGAGACCAATTCTGGACCTCAAAAGGTTAAACATCCATTTGACGTACAAAAGGTTCAAAATGCACCCCCTGCAGTCTATTTTGGATGGATCAGGATGGGTGACCTCCTGTCTTCCATTGTCTTGAAAGAGGCATACCTCCACATCTCCATCCCTCCCCAGCACTGATGGTTCCTCAGGTTCTGTTACTAGAGTCATCAGTTCCAGTACAAAGCCCTGCTGTTCAGCCCAGCCTCCGCTCCCAGGTCCTTCACAAAGAGCCTGGCAGCACTGGTCACACACCTGAGATCCATCCCAGTGTGCCTCCAGTGCTGCCTTGATGAGATCCTCATCCAATCGTCTTCACCCCAGCTTGCCCAGAAGGATCTGGAAATGACAATCTGTGTTCTTCAGTAACATGGATTTTCTATAAATTTGCAGAAAAGTCATCTGGTACCTACCACTTGACTGCTCCATTTTGGAGCAGTGATAGATACCAGGCTGTGTGAGGTCTATCTTTCCCAGGAGCTACAGGACAGTATCAAGTCCTTAATCACTCAAATCAGGATGGAACGTCTTGTTCTATTGGCAGTTCTCTCTCAGCTCCTGGGAAAGACAGTCTTGTATATAGCCATCGTCCCATGGGCCCGATTGCTCCTAAGGACTTTGCAATGGTTCCTCCTACCATTCCAGAGAACAGGGGGCAGCAATTCCAATGCCAAGGTCAGGGTTCCATTGGAAATACTCAGGTCCCTCAGATGGTGGGTGTCCCCAGCAATAGCCAGGGATAGAAGAGATCGGCAGGGCAGTGACATGGTCCTCACCATCTCCCTTTGTGCGCCACTATAAGTTAGTCACTTTTGCCTCTGCTGAGGCTGCCTTTGGGAGGCGAGTACTTCAGCGAGTGCATGTAGCTAGGGGGACTCAGGACTACAACAATCTCCGCCCATAGGGACACCGGTATGTCCAATCCATGGATTCTTCAATCATCGTGCTGGAGAAAGAGCATTGTCTTACCTGAACGCTTCTTCTCAGCATGGCGATGTAGAATCCACTCCCTCCCGGGGAGGCAGTCAGGTCCTTCATCCAGCACAGAAATACTGGAAGAGCCAACGCCACCAACAAGTCCTTCAGTTTGCCGTGCCTTCGTTGTTAACTGGGGAAAGTGACAGTTGACAAAGGGTGTGGCAAAGATTATGGACTCAGTCTCCGGGCAGAAAGGCATGTGTCAACCCATCTGTGGATTCTCCATCGCCGTGCTGAGAAGAAGTGTTCAGGTAAGACAATACTCTTTTTCTTATGGTTATATTGCACTTGTCTATTATTAATTTTTAAACCTCCCCCCCCACACACACTACTGGATAGTATATTTATTTATTGTACTTAAAGTAACAGGGGAGAGAACCAGTTTACTACACAAAAAAAGGAAATTACAAATAATAAAGGAATGAAGAATGACAAATTAAGTCCAAGAACATAATATAAATCAAAGGAGCAATTCAGAAAGAGCTCTTAACCACAGATATATTCCACATGTTCTAGATCAGTGGTCCCCAACCTTTTTTGTACCAGGGACCGGTTTCAAGCAGAAACATTTTTTCAAGGACCGGGGGGGGGGGGAGGAGAGAGAATCCGACTTTGGTAGTTTGCTTGCAGACGTTTCATTACCTGACTAGGTAACATCTGATGTTGTTACCTAGTCGGGTAATAAAACGTCTGCCAGCAAACCACCAAGTTCAGGGAGCGCCTTGGTCCTGCCTCCCTCAGCCCCATCCCTCAGGTGTCTCCCTCCCTCCCTCCCTCCCTCAGGTGTCTGCCTCGTTCCTCTCTCAGTCACTCTATCGCTCCTACAGCAGCCCAGGAAGAAACTGCTTAAAGGAGGCGGGGGGGGGGGGGGTGGGGTGGCTTTTCCTGTCGCCACAGCTTCCCCGAAGTGCCCATTTCACCCCCACCCCGCCCGCCCGCCCGCTCGCGGTTCAATCCACAGTGCTCCGTTCTACCTGCCTGCCTGCCTGCCTTCTTCGTTTCGGAGCAGCTTCGGCTGATAAAAAGAGGCGAATAGTTATTATTCTCAGCCGAAGCTGCTCCCAAACAACCAGACAGGCAGGCAAGCAGAACGGAGCACTGTGGATTGAACCGCGAGCGAGCGGGCGGGCGGGGTGGGGGTGAAACGGGCGCTTCGGGGAAGCTGCGGCGACAGGAAAAGCCACCCCCCCCAGCTTCTTTGAAGCAGTTTCTTCCTGGGCTGGTGGAGGAGCGAGAAAGCGACTGAGAGAGCTGAGCCAGAGAGCAGGACAGGCTTCGGTTGCTTCCTCCCTCCCCTTCTTTCATTTGTGTCCTTGATCCCCGATCCCAGCAGCATTCACCGAAGGCGAAGAAAGCCGCCATTTTTTTAATTTTTTTTTCTTTGCGGCCCGGTAAAGAGTGCTCCATGGCCCGGTACCGGTCCGCGGCCTGGTGGTTGGGGACCCCTGTTCTAGATAACTTAAAATAGAGGAACTAGCTACTGTATAAAGAAGTATAGAGTTACATTACTTTCTAGGCAAGATTTACTCTCTAGGCAAGATTTCCAATCTTGGAAAATAATAATATTCACTCTTTACTGAGGCATCTTGTAGTTGTAAGATGACCGTGGAAGCGAACAGTTTATAGCACTGTTAATCAATCTGAGATAAGATGCCACATTCACTCTGAAGGTCAAATTACAACAAAGACAAGATCTCCAAGAACAGGGAAGGTCAGGAGGAACTGATGGATAAAGTACTGGTAAATGGAGGTTGTGGTGAATGTTTGAGCTGTTTAAAATTTTTTCCAGCTTGAGCAAAAAGAAATTTTTACATATTGAAAACAATAAAAGTAATAATGAAGTGACATGCTTGAATATTTTTTTATTAGCACAATCTTTTGATTCAATTTTAGAGAGTTATAATACTGTAATACAGTGTAGGAATTACAGAAGTTACTAGTATTAAAATACTTGTGTTACCTCAAGCCATGGTTAATTATAAATTAAGAAAACACTCACTGCCAACTTTAATGCCCATAAGGCTAATAAAAGTCTAATATTTTTGCAGAGTTTTCTAAACATAAGAGACTTTACAAACAATTTCCTAAATATAGTTAAGCAGCCAATACAAAAGGTATGATTATATTTATTTGGTCAATAGGAACTAATGACTTTTTTTGGCATATCACAGTGGATAATCTTAATAGTAGACTGATGTTTTTGGACATTGCACCCTACTATAGATTGGCAAAAGGTATTTTATGGAACTATATGGAGATACATAATGAATCAAAGAGGCCCCACTATACTGCAGAGAACCAGCTGCTTGGCTGGTGGTAATGATTGCAGAGGTTAAGCATTTAATTACATTAAGTAAATAAAATTAATGGAAGGCTCTAGTTTGAATTAATCCCATCTCTGCTTCCCCAGCTAATCAGGAATAATAAGAATTGTGAATTTCCATTGTGGTCTTACTATCTATGATCAAGCAAAGTTGTATCTTGAGGGTTTGGAGCTTGCAATTTCTATGGTCCCAGTTTGTGTTTCTAAATCTATAAGTAGTAAACATGCTGGAAAAGATAATGGCAAACCACTTGACACCAGCAAAAAAGCCTTGTGACTACATGATTGCGTACATGTAGTCGCTAGACACTGAGCTCCATTCAAGATCATATATACTTTATGTTTTACTTAAAGATGGAATATATTATCAAACACCAAATAAATATTAAATTTGGTTCCACATGTGAGGACTTTTTTGTGTGACTTTGTCCCATTGTTTTCTGTTAGCCAGAGAAAGAAAGTATATAATACTAGACCTTAACATTTATCCTAGTTCCATTTTATGGAGTTATTGCAAGCCCTTCCAACAAAGCTTCTAAAGAAAAAAGGTAACGTTAGGAAAGAATGAAAATTCAGTCTTGTAAACATTCTACTTTGATGTAAGCTTCAATGAATTTAATAAAAGACATGTCTGTATATATTATTGCATTACTACTTAAATATCGGGTTTGCTTAAGTTTTCATACGGTTTGCATACTTTTCTATCCATTGTTTTTTATTCTTTAAACTTGTCAGTTCTTCTTGAGAATGTTAGTAATGTCTTCTTTGACAGGTAGATGCTACATAAAATAAATGAAATTAATTAATATCAACAATAACCTAGATGACATACATCCTGTTCTACATTTTTAGCACTTTCATTTATAATACTTAATTATTAATTAATACAAATTAAGGCAAAGGTTCTAATTGTAATATTGTTGGGGACTGTTTTTGGATTTTACTGTCTTTTTCTAATGTATTCTCCTTTCTTTTTCTTTACAGTTCATTGCTTTTGCCTCTTTATTCTTCATCCTACTCTCGATTACCACCTTTTGCCTGGAAACCCATGAAGCATTTAATACCATTAAAAATAAAACAGAACCTATCAAAGGTAGTGAGCCAGTTCTACAATATGAAATAGAGACAGATCCAGCTCTAACATATGTTGAAGGAGTCTGTGTGGTGTGGTTTACATTTGAGTTTTTAGTCCGTGTTGTTTTTTCACCCAACAAACGTGAATTCATAAAAAATCTCTTGAATATCATTGACTTTGTGGCAATTTTGCCTTTCTATCTAGAAGTGGGTCTGAGTGGGCTCTCCTCTAAAGCTGCTAAGGATGTTCTTGGTTTCCTCAGGGTGGTGAGGTTTGTGAGAATATTGCGAATCTTCAAGCTCACTCGACATTTTGTTGGCCTCAGGGTGCTTGGTCATACGCTCCGTGCAAGCACCAATGAGTTTTTGCTGCTGATAATATTTTTGGCATTAGGAGTGTTGATATTTGCCACCATGATCTATTACGCTGAACGAATAGGTGCCAAACCCAATGACCCATCAGCTAGTGAACATACAGAGTTCAAAAACATTCCCATTGGGTTTTGGTGGGCTGTGGTCACCATGACTACTCTTGGATATGGAGACATGTATCCAAAGACTTGGTCAGGCATGCTAGTGGGTGCTCTGTGTGCTTTAGCTGGAGTGCTGACCATAGCTATGCCTGTGCCTGTTATTGTCAACAATTTTGGAATGTACTATTCTCTGGCCATGGCGAAACAGAAGCTTCCAAGAAAGAGAAAGAAGCACATCCCACCTGTTCCTCAGGCAAGGTCCCCTACATTTTGCAAGACAGACTTGAATATGGCCTGCAATAGCACACAGGGAGAAGTCTGTCTTGGCAAAGACAACCGGCTGATGGAACATAATAAATCAGGTAGGACACAATTCCAGGTGCATGTCTGGTATGTCTGGCAATATAAAGAATGAGAAAACACTTAACTTTCTTCAGCTGAAGAAAATAGACCCTACACTTCTCTCTTCAACCACTATTTGTGTGCCAGTCCCATAAATGGCAAAGTAACTAGATCTCTGAATCTAGCATTCTCTGAATTGCTTTCTATATGGTGTTTGCTAAATGTATTCTGGATGCTAAGTTGCTTTTTGTTCCCTCTTTTTCTTTTCTAGTGGTGGCTTCCTCTGTTTTTGCTTATTGCATTGTACAGATGTTTTGTTCATGCAATTGTGCCTTCATTCTGTTGAATTTTTATCTTATGTAATGTTTCCCTTGTTTGCTAGTGTTACAAAATACTAGCATCAATCTTTATATTATTTAAACATAGGTTAGCTTCGGTCGTCCTATCCCAAATGAATGGCTTTGGGGTCTTTGGATTTGAGCTACATTTAAATTTGTGACTTGCAGTCTCTATTGAAGAACATTAAGTTCGTCATTAGTGTCTTAGTCTAACATTATGCTGAGTGACAGATTGGCCTTAGACTGCAGGTGTTGCATATGTAAAAGCAATAGTGGAGTATTAGAAAACAGAACTGTGGATATTATGTAAGCTATCTTGTGAAATATACTGTCTCACTGCCAGAACTGAAGAAAGATCATAGTCTCAGTGGCTTTTCCTCATGAGATTGCCACCAACTTTATTTTAAGCAGCAAAATATCTTGGATGAACCCGGAAGAATTCCCTAATTATTAATGATCAAATGTAGACATATAATATCTGCTGTTGTTAATGCCAATTGATTCCTTTGAGTAGTGGATGAAATGCTATAGAACCAACATTTTTAAAATACTGAAGACACTGAGGCAATATATAATACTGAAGACAGCATCAGTCAGTTGTGGCCAGTTTGTTTGTTTCTTAGGAAATCATAGATTTTCAACTTTATGAGGAGCATTTTTTTCATTTCATAACTTACTACTACTTATTGTTCTTTTCCACCTTCAATAGTAAGAGTATAAGGCAAGTTATTTGTGATGTCTCGTTTATTCATTGGCTATATGATGTAAATGGGCATGGTGCTTTGACCAGTGTTATCAGGTGAAGACAGTACAGAAAGTGAGCAGCCATTGTCACCTATGGAAAGGCCCCCACCAATCAGACGCTCTAGTACCAGAGACAAAAACAGAAGAGGGGGAACATGTTTTCTACTGACAGCAGGTGATTACCCGTGTGCTACTGATGGAGGGATCAGGAAAGGTATGGAGTCTTTCATTAGACTATAAATATTATCACTATTCTTCTGAACAAATAATCCTGGAATAAAGCAGATACGAATTCATGCTATAGGAAATACTATAGTCAGATCAATGCATTTTTCCTTCATATTTTCTTTGTTGTTCCTTGTTTCGTATTAGAAATGTCTTTGGCTCATTAATTCATTGAAAAATATGTCACTGTTTCATTCATGATTTCATTTGTCTACCTGCAAGAATGAAGATGTAGCTTAGACCATTTTCATTAAATCGCTTTCTAAACCAGTGATCCCCAACCTTTTTTATGCCGCGGCCCGGTACCGGCATCAGCTGGGCGCCGCGGCCCGGTACCGGCATCAGCTGGGCGCCGCCATCTTTTTTTGATGAAAAAGTGCTTCCGGTGAGGTCACCGGAAGCACTTTTTCATCAAAAAAGATGGCGGCGCCAGC